CCCTGTAGAGGATAAGTGAGTTTTCAAATGAAGTGTCCTTTGTTAAACACCAGTACGGGCTTTCTTTGCTAAGGGTCCTCGAGTTTTTCTGATTATGGAGACAAAATCAAAGACTGAAAAAAACTTTGGTAGAGGCACAATGCCATCTTTGGTTGGAAAAACCCCATTGTGTGCCTGTTGGGCTGGAGGCCCATGGTTACGAAAAACTTTAGACCTAATAAAGTTAAAATTGTATGTTTAATTTAAACAATTTATTATCTTTTTTTTCATCTTTTATTTATGTGAAAGTTTTTTATTTGATCAAAACAAAGCAAAAAAATATTGCCTGGTAAAAAAGTTGTGCAACAATTAACTGCTTCTAAATGTACATTTTAAGAAATACAAAAAAAAAATGTACGTTCTATGTCAAGTTTAAAATGTTACAAATTTTATCAACCAAACTCCTTATTTATTTACAGCACAGAGTGCTTAATAACTTGTGGCTTTTAATAGACATGTAAATAAAAAGCAGAGTCTATAATTGAACAATCTCAACAACAGTGATAGATCAGACCATGCAGCATTCAGATGATAGGGTCAGAATTGGATGAACAATATGCGTTGATTCTGTTCTACATGAACAGTCCAGCCTGCAAATGGTGATAAAATTGTTCAGGAAAAAAATTCTTAGAACAGTTTTGGCCCCTCTGAAATTGTTTAAATGCAACAGCCTGTTATCAGAATCATTCCTGACCTTGTCCAAGTCAAAGGACAGAAGGAATACCCATCCTCAGATTTTAACTGCACCATGCTCAAATAATCTCAAACTGCTTTCTTAACACACCTTTAAGATGATGATGGTGCCATCTGATCTGTACTGGAACCAATACCTCATTCTAAAAGTTAACATAGAGTCATGTTTAATAAAGAATATATGTCTCTATAAATGTTATTTGTATGAAAAAAAAAAAAAATTAAAATACCTTTTGAAAATAATAACCTATAGAATGTTTTCAAGAAATTTTCTAATGTAATTTTTTTAATTACATTTTATCTTGGTCTGGTGTAATATTCTATTCGTAAATGACAGTTTCTCTGAAATCTCAGTCGGAAGTCATTAAAATAACTGAATTGGAGCCTAGAAAACATCAGTCCATGTATACTTAATCTACATAACGTGTTTCACTTAGTTCAGTTTCTGAAGAAAATTAAATCTTTAATAATATTTAAATGGATAGAGGATTAGTTTATATCTGGAGCCAAGATTACATAAACCGACAGCATAGGCTGTTATATACAGTATAGCTTTTAGATTTAGATTTACTTCCAGGACAGTAGATATAAATAGTCTCTCTGTCAATATGCCAAAGTTAGCCACTAGACTATTTTCCACGTTGACTCTACAGACAGATGAGAAAGGTTACCCTAAAAAAATAAGAGTAAAAGAACGTACATACATTAACAATAAAACAATTACAATACATTAAGTAGACACACTCTAATATGTAAATGGACATCAAAAGTGAAAAAGGGAAAATAATTCTGCCTGCATACAAAGGCTGCCTGCTGAGCTGTTTGCATTATTTTACTCTTAACTTTTTATCTCTTAGGCAAAATTGTAGACTTGGACTGGAACTTCATACCAGGGACCCTCAGGGATTAATATTATTTAGATTTTATGGTAAAAGAATTCACCTTTTTTTTTATTCTAAACTGAAAGGAAAAAATAATTTGAGCTTATATCAATACTTTAGAATTTCAGTAAATACTCAAATTGTTGTAGTCTTTAAAGCCTTTTTTCAATTAGAAGCCTTTCTTTCAATAAAAGGCATCACTCAGATATCAAACATTTCATGTAAATGAATCATTGAAACTGTGAGATATAGGTGGTTTAAATGTAAGCTGATATAAAGGTCTGCATAACGCTGAATATAGGTGAAGCAAATACATCCAATAATAGGTACCTACAAGGGAATGATGATAAACCTCCCTTTAATCTTCACTCCTACACTATGTTAGTGGCCTCTTCCACTTAAACCGATGTTCAATGAGAAGTTAAAGTATTGTACGGCAAAAATAAATTAGAGCTGTATTGTTGTTGTTTTTATATAATACAGTGTTAACCCTTTAAAAGGAAATGTTTTTTTTCAGCAGCAAAAAAAGTAAAAAAAAGGATTGAAATCAAAGAAATATTGTCCGAGAAAAAATGAGTACATGTAATCCATCTAGAAGGCAGCAGAATCCTGCTCACCCAGTGGACTGCAGCCAATAAAACATCACCTTTTCTAATTCAGAAGGGACTTCTCCTTCAGCTGTTCCATAAACCTGATTAATTGTGGGTTCAGGCCTTTCCTCATACTGGTAAGAACCTGGCTCTACAGTATTACAGAGTGGCTCTTTATGGGTTATGTCATGTGTTATATATAAAAAGACAAATGCCTGAGCCTACTTTATTAAACAGAGGCATGCACTGGGACACTTGCATCATGCCATGTCATGCCACACATAGATACATACAGTCAAAAGCTAAGAAATGTCAGAAAAGCTAAATCACAATTTACCAAAAGTAGTCCACTTTATCTCTTTATTTCTTTCTTTGTATTTTTTTTTCTCTTCTATCTCTGTAGGTGAAATAATATTTATTTTTAAAAAATATTCACTGTTTCCCAGGCTACAATCTGTGAACAATGCTTTATAAGGTGACAACTTAAAAAAAAAAGTAACAAATTCTTACATCTATTATAGTACGTATAAGTAAGTGTTGGCCTAGGTGTCATCTTTTGATAAACATTTAAAGAAAATGTGTTATACCTCTTACAGAAACAAATGTATTTCAAATAGTGATAAAAAATGAATTCCTTCTAGTTCAAATCATCATAATAAATACAGTTATAATAAGGATATCTGTAAAATGCTGAATTAACACCATGTATAATTAGATACAATTTTTAAATGACATGCTCTTGTTATATAGAACATTACCTTTTGCTGTCTTAGTTTTCATCCTTACCGTCAGACTGGAGGGTTGATCCCCTAGTTTCCTCCAAATGTAGTTTCCCTAACAGAAACGCTTCAATACCAACAAATCTGAGTTTTTTTTCAAAGCAAGGGAAACATATAGGAGGCTTCTTCTAGCTAACCGAATAGAGGAATTACTCTCAAATAAAGGTGAAGATGATAAATTGATAAATGGCATCAGGATGGTTATATATTTGCGATAAATCATGCAACCTTAATTTAAAATGACATCTATTTCTAACTTTTTTAGTTTGAATTAGGATTTTCATCCAATGAAAATGAATGTGATATTCAAAGAAAATTCAAAACTGCTGCAGGAGCATTAACTTCCGGAACGGTACTATTTTTCTACATTCTCTAAATTTTTGTTAAAAGAAAAAAAAATTAATGTTACAAGAGTATCTTTGTCACTTGCTTTAAGATCCAGTTTCTCTGCTGAACTCCCACTCTGGCCCTGACCATCACGTGACTCTAAAATAAATTTGCCGTGGAGCAGTGGGTATTACAAATTTCCCGCAGCAATAATGACAGCAGGCAAGTGATAAGCTCAGTATTCTAATGTTGGATATTAGAGACGGCTGTCTAATTATTATTGCGGCTGGCAGGGTCATGCAGAATATCAAACATCAGAAGATATTGAGATGTCTGTTCTGCCAAACCGTGCTTTACATCCTTTTAAAAACCATTACCTCTCAGGCAGCATAAATAAGTTTATCTTCTCCAATAATCACACATTGCTCTTACGTCTAAAATAAAACCAACCCAAGCAGTTGAATTGCTAATAAGTGAGAGCTTAAAACACATGAGCACTCAACATAAAACCCTTTTTTTTTTACTAAAAAAGTGAGTGCAAAAAGGCTTGAAAGTTGCATTTTAATTTACTGACGTCTTTTCAATTCTGTTTAGCAGAAATTCTAGAAAGTTGAATCAAATTTGTGAGGAGTCCTTTCACACATTATTCTTCATGCAGTGTATCAATCATGGCAGATTTCTTAAAAAAGTGAACAAGAATACTAACAAAAGAACTTGGTGTACTTTTACCATTTCTGGAGTTTTCAGGTAAAAATTATTGGTCTTTGTCAGACTGAAATAGTATTTCAAGTCTGTGTTTAAAAAAAAGAGCTCTAAAGTGAGCAAGTGCCTAAGAAATGGAACAACACCCTAAATAGAGATGTGCCGTATACAGTATCTAAAACCCTAGAGTTTAAAAACAGTCTGCCTTTTGCTTTCGTGTTTGTAATTTCTTTAGGTTTAACTGTAAAAGCAAATTCATGCATAAAGTAAAGAGAGAAGCTGCACCAGGGTTAGTTTCTGTCAGTGAAAGCTCACATTACAGAGCCATGTATATTTAGGTAACCTGCTTTGGGGGGTCTATTTGCGCTGTAGAAAAGTCATTTGCAACATACTCATTGAAAATGTACCACAAGAGCAATAACAGGACTGCACCATGCTACCTTTTCATTAAGGTAACTTAAACTTCTATAGATTTTTATAGCAAATCTATTAGAGCTATCACACTCCACAAGACACAGCTAAAACTCAATCAATTTCTCATCCACAACAAGCAAAATTGAGATCTGGCCCAGGTGACCTATAATGAATATATGAGTAGTATGCTGTAACCAGGACCTACACATTTAAAACATCTCATCCGAACATAGAGCTTGCCTAAGTCACACAGGAGAGACAAGGCATGCAGCCAGAGATCTCATTTGCATCAACTGTACAAGCAGAGTAACTAGGAGGATGTAACCCTTGGGTCATTGCTTGATATATGTGCTCATCAATCAACATCGGAAACGGTGACAGCATGACCGATGCTGAGCTGCCTCATTTCAACCCTAAGTTCACAAAGTATGCTTAGTTAAACATCTCTTTTGTTTTTAATTAGCAAATATCTCTTTGGTTTTGGTGCAGTTTATAATATTATATAATTGCATGATGAATGAGTCTAATGCTGTTTATACAACAATTAGATTCAGTAAATGTCTTTGTTTCCTTACCTTAATGAGAAGATATGCCAGTGTTGGCAGGGTTTCATGGGTGTTGTGTCAGGTCCAGAGTGAAACTGGTCAGACCTTCATTCGTGTGTGACAGTGCTGGAACTCTGGTGTGTGCTCCGGGAGGATCCTCTCGCAAGTCAGCAACAGCAGCCCTAAAGCTCTGTTTAGGGAGATCCGACAGGCGGGTGCTGGAAGCAGACTCGTCTCTGATGCTCTCTGCTTCTCTCTTCCTTTTGTCTGTTTCTCTCTCAGTCTTCTGCTTTCACTCTCGCTCCAGTCCCTTCTCTGCTGCTCTACTCGCTCTCTCTCCACTTAAATCTCCTTCCAGCACATGAATTCTCCACACTGCATATCCTCCCTCTCTTGTTCAGACATAGGCACACAACACTGTCAGTCTCAACACTGTATGCCCCACATTTTTTGCTTCTCACCTCATGTAGTCCTTGTTGCCCACCGTTGTAGATTTACACCGGGTTTACAGCTATAAATATTTTCTGAATAAGATTATTCTCTTGTTGTGAGCATTACATGGCATACGTACACAGTAATGAACAACATGGAAGAGAAAGACACCGAGGCAAAGATTCTGGGGAAAGATAAAAGAAAAGGCAAGGGAATAATGATGGGAAACAAAGATTCCTGGATGCAGAAAAAACAACCTGGTGGGACTGTGACTTTGAAGTGCAAAGAAATATTTTATGTCTTTGCCAAAAAGCACAGTTTATTGCAGTTTTATAACTGTCATAAAATAGAGCTGTGTATGCCATTGCTCTTTTTGAATGTATTTTACAATGTGATGGAAGATCTATAGTAAGAAAAAACAAGCAATGATTACTTTAAAGAATCAATACAGCTTGTCTGTTCTGTTGCTTCTGAGTATACAATAGTCTATAAAACAGACAACTATCAAAGGCAAAGATGTCTTGTTTTTGAGAGATATTTCAAATGCTTAAAGTCTATCTTTCTTTCTAAGCATGTTTTGGCAGTGTCTTTATGTTGTGTTTGCTTCTAAGCCTCATCCACCTGTTCAGTCTTGGCTACAATACCTAGATTTTCCCCTAAATCATCAGTAAACAGACAGCAGCTACAGAAACCCACCTGACCAACAGACAAACAGCTTTTCTGACATCTGGTGCCTGCACTGTATACAAAGGAACAGATAAAATACAGTATGCAACAACAGTTTTAAATTCACTCATTTTGCCTCACTCAAATGAAAAGTACAATGGATTTTATGATGGATTTGCTGCCAAAAGGTGTAAAAGTCTAAATCAAAAGTAACCTCAACACCCCTGCCTGCCAATACAAGACTTGAACTTTCGTTTAATTTTATCAAACTTTAATGAAGAAGTTCTGATTTGGAGACAAGCTGAGTGTCCTAGGGTAGATAATGGGCTATATATATATACAGTATATATATCCATCCATCCATTTTCTGACACGCTTTATAACAAATGGGGTTGCGGGGGTTGCTGGTGCCTATCTACAGCCTTCTATGGGGGAGAGGCGGGGTACACCCTGGACAGGTCGCCAGACCATCACAGGGCAACACAGAGACAAACAGGACAAACAACCATTCATGCACACACTTACACCTAAGGAGAACTTAGAGAAGCCAATTGAGCTAACAGTCATGTATTTGGACTGTGAGAGGAAGCTTGAGTACCCGGAAAGAACCCACGCTTGCACAGGGTTCTGCATTTCCTCTACCAGAGGCCTGGAATCTTGAGGGTTCTGCGCAGTATCTTTACTGTTCCACAACTTTTCTGAACCGAGATGTCTGATGTATTTCCAGGGATCTGCTGTAACCACTCCTCAATTTTGGGGATACTGCCCCGAGTGCCCCAATGAACGCGGGTACCACTGATGCCTTGACCTTTCAGGTTTTCTCCAGCTCCCCCTGAGCACCTGGTATTTCTCTAGTTTCTCATGTTCCTTTTTCCTGATGTTGCAGTCAACTGGTATTGCTACGTCAACCACAATGCCTTTCCTGCTTTTTGTCCACAACCACAATGTCCGGTTGGTTTGCCATTACCATTCGGTCCGTCTGTATCTGGAAGTCCCACAGGATCTTGGCTCGGACATTCTCGACCATCTTTGGAGGTGTTTTCCTTGACCTTGGGGTTTCCAGCCCATACTCTGCACAGATGTTCCTGTACATTATTCTAGCCACTTGGTTATGGCGCTCCATGTAAGCTTTCCCTGCTAGCGTCTTACACCATGCAGTTATGTACTGGATTGTCTCAGGGGCCTCTTTGCACAGTCTGCACCTGCGGTCTTGTCTGGTGTGGTAGTTGATTATCTTTCCTTTCCATGTGTTTTGTGTTTACTGGTCTCATTTTTGTGATTGCAGGTCTTTTTGAATTTGCTGTGAATTTATGTATTTTCATGTTGTTTGCACCCATCGTCCTCCATAGATATCTGTCCTTTGCACCTGTTTACACCTAAAGAATTCACAAATTTTTTTCACATCCTCGTAAATCCTTGTTATAAAACATCTTAACCTATCCCGTATTTGTATCAACAGTTAGACGCTGCACATCTGTTTTACATAACCCCATTGAAAAGGAGCTGTTTTGTAAAGAAAACCATCTGTTCTTTTTTAAACAGACAGTGACAGATTTCAACATTACAAATGCCTTCATATAATGAAGTGTACTTCCGGTTTTGAGAGTATGAAAAATATGTTTTAAAATTCTCTTAAAAACGATCCACTTGAAAGGATCATTGACTGTTAAAACACTAGGTTTTCTGTCTTCATAATATGATCATATTTGGCATTTGAGCTACAAACTTAAAAAATATATATATATATATAAATGTTCAAAGTATTTTCAGAATCAAAGTTGTTATATAAAATTGAGTGTAAGACTAGAACATCAGACTGATTTTAAAGTCCTGAGCAGAGCCATAAATCATGCGAACATAGAGGAATTAAGAGGAAGGAAAAAGATTGCAGCCATCCCATCCAGCCCAGCAGGCTGTGATGTGTTCTGACTTTTACATCGTAAGAAAATATATGAACTGTGTGTAAATGAATTTGATCGTTGATTTAAAGAAAATATCATTCAAGTCTATTTCTTGGTCAAATTAATCATTCACTTTAAGATATTAGTTTTTTTTAGCATGGGAAATAAAATTAAAAGACAAATTTAGATGCTACATAGCACTTTTAATGAACAGCAAGCACATGCAGCCTCTTTGTAATTGATGGTCATGATTGATGAATTCACTTTGATCTTTTTTATGCTAAGTCTTAGAAGGCATTTTACCTGTTATAAACACAAATATATTTTTGTGCTTCATACTTTTTCTCTGGAAATCAGTTCTACATATTGCATATTCATTAGTTGGTACACGCCACACTGTGTTTTTATACATGAACTGTGGGTATGCCTATTCCTTGAAGTTCTCCAATCCTCAATCCATGTCTCATTGCATCCCTCTTGTCTTTCTGTCTTTGTCTTATTCATGAGTTAGGGAAAAGCAACTCTTTCAATATGTGGGTCACTATACTTTGTGTTTTATTGTACGAAAGCCAGGGGAAGGAAAAGCTGACTCCTAGACAAAGAGGAACTCTATGAGAGGAAAGAATCATATGACTGCTGATACCCCTTGTGTGCAACATTTTTGATTTTGAAAAATTTATACACAGAGCACTGTTTTAAAAATGAAATGATGAACTGTGATTTCAAAAACCCCCAAAATATTCCAGGTACTTAGCATTGCTTCACAAAGTTATTGTGATTAATTAAGTATTTGAGCTGATGCTGTATCAGATCAACATTCCTTGCAACGTGCTATGAAATGGTTGTCAGAACATTTACAAAGAATTTGTTAATTTCAGTGCTATTTCAACCACCCAGTAATTTACATACAAGATAGATCAACTCCATCTTTATTCTTAAACCAAGAATACTCCCTTTGTTGCTCAATCTGCATTAGGTTCTACTGTACAAAGTCAGTAGTTTATGATGGCCAACAGGTGTTCATTTGCAACAAGTGATGGATAATACATGTATGATCAGTGTTGGGACTAACGCATTACTGTAACGGCAGTATTTTTTTCACTAACTAGTATGCTAACGCATTAGTTTTTAAATTCAGTAACTCCGTTAACATTACTACTTGATGCGTTACTGCGTTATTTTATAGTCTCGGGATCAGCTAGAGACTTAAAAGCTGCAGTGAAGTATTGTCTTCCTGTGTTAGAGTGAGGGAGACAGGAAGGAAACATGCTGAAGGCGTGTTTGTGTTTACCAACACTAGTCATCATGGCAGCTGCTGCAGAGCCCAAGTCGAGTTTCTTCACTTGGAGATATTCTCATTAATTTACAATTTGTGCCTTGGATCAAAGATTCTACAGCCCAGAACAGCAACTGTAATCTGTTGAAACACCTACAAAAGCAACATGCTGCGACGAAGCTAGAAGCTACCGGTGTCGTGCCAAGGTAGTTATCCCTGGGAAAATTTGTATCCCCTCGTCGGGAGCGTTCATGGAGTAGGACGAACAACCCGACTTAACTCCGCCTCAATTCCAACGTGCAGAACTTGAAATTTGAAAGGTTTTACGAGTATGAAAGTTGAGCTTTATTGTTTTATTCTTTACTTCACATGTTATAGCAGAACATCGCCAGTGATATTGATCTAAAACTAATAATAAAACACAAACGTTTGCTTGAAAGCTGGTCACTGACAGCAGTGTCTACTCCTTCCTCTGAAAGCAAACAGATCCTTGTTCTTTTCCACACGTTCATTAAAAAAATCTCTCATTGTTTCACAGTGTCCAAATTTTCTCATCCCATTGAAAACTGTTGTAAACCATATACTTGTAATAAAAATGAAATAGAAAATGGAGTGCATGTGTAATCATTAATACTAGTAATACTTAAATCTATATTTGTGTTGTATATTAACTTACAATTTATCACTGTTGTACTATCCTTAATAAACAGTTTGTGTTCTAACATCAGCCGTTTTATTTCAAAATCAAAACCTGCTGTAATCTGTTCCCCCTGTCTAAATCAGACAAAAAAGGTCCCAGCTTTTTCATTTTTGGCTTATAAGCATCTTTTACGATGACAATTTATTCCTGAAACTTTGGAGGTGATGGACCTTTATTTCTTAAAGTTATAAGGGGGGAACAAATTATACCAGGCCACCTGCTGTAAAGGGCAATTTTGCAGGCAACTACCTACTATGCCCTGAAATAAATTGGCACTTTGAAACATATCTTTGTTGCTTGTATATAGAATTGCTTAGCAGAGTTTCATGATGCAAATGCATGTCAAGTTCTTCAACAGATTGTATTATTCTCCAGTGCAATAACATTTCTGAAATGAAGGCTATAAGGGCATAATGTGAACCTTTAAAAAAAAAGTAACTAAATAGTTACTTTTCACAGTAAC